GTGTGTGTGTGTGTGTGTGTGTGTGTATATATATATATATATATAGGAGTCTTTGCATTAAAACAAGACAATCATAAAATCAAGGAATGCTGTAAAAATCACAGTGACTTGAAAAATAAAGCAAAGGTAAGTCTTTAATTATTAAATGGGAGAAATGTAGAATTATGCTGGTTTGCACACAAATATTGTGAACATGGTTATTTCCTCCCTTTTTTAATGATTTTCTGTTTCTTTGTTTTTAGATTAACTATATATGTATTTATTTGATGGAAACCAAGAGTTTAATTAAAAAATGTGAGCACCATGACAGTAGTTCCATAGGTCTAATTTTTGGATGTTTTGGGTTTTACAAGTCCTAACGTTATGGTTTCCATGGTTCAGGGAAGCTGGGAAATATCAGCAAATTTTATATTTTGTGTTTCCAATCTGGGAAACATCAGGGAACTTCATTTACAGACTAAAACTGGAAAAGTTGGTGAATTTGATGTGATTCGGTGATATTTCTAGGGCACAAACGATGAAAAAATAGATTATCATTAGTGCTGAAAAATAATCACACACACGTTAGTTCTGGCACATTTAGCACATCAGTATATGCATTTTTTATACATAAAAATTGTTTTACCTTCACTGATTTTTTTTACTGTTAAATGTCATAGAGAATGAAGGCAGACCATAACAGATTACATAAACAGGAGCTAGGCTAGAGCTCTGAACATGGCTTTTTTTGTCTTTGTAAATGTTATTGTCCTCATGAAGAATCATTTTACTGCAACTTAAAAAGCCCTTAACAAATCACTTTAGAAATATACTTTTTAAATTAAATATATTTTGATCTTACAAATTTTAGTGCATTAATAAAACAGTCTCCATGTTGGTACTTGTAGAAGGAACATATAATACCTTGAAAATGTTACTTCCCTGATACAATTGTGTATGAGAAATTTGGGAAATGGCCTGGCAGTTCAAAATATATAAAAAAATTACACAGGTTTGATGAGCTTTTAATTTATTTCATATCTGACCTTATATTTATTTGATTTATTATCAAAAATAACTATAATAATTTTATAGAATAATAATTTATAAGTAATTTAGAGTAACTTTGTTATAAACTAAAATATATATCACCAAGCATTGTGTATAGCACATGAATGTCATGATACATTGTACAGCTCTGATAGGTCAATAACAGGTGATATCTCCAAGAGACAGATAGAGTATCGCCAGTGACAGTTAAGGAAAACCCATATAAAGTAAAATATAAATGGCAATGTATAATATCTATAACTTGGAGATAAGTTTTGTAAAAAGAAATTAAATTAAAAATATATTGAAATATAGAATGTTTCACTGATAATAACTAATAATATGGTATGTGTAAGAATCTGAGAATATTCGTTATTCGTGAATATTTGTAGAAACAGTGAAATTTGCTCTGGGGAATAATTGAATGCATAATTTTTGCCTAGTAATCTATGATTTAATGTATTGGATATCTGAGTAACATATTAGGAAAATGTACTGTTTATCGAGCAACAAACAGAATGCTAGGGACAGGATAGAATAAAGGTTGGAGGTAAAAATGAATATGTGCATCTTTATAGAATTGGATTAATAGTTTTGTTATTGTTTTGAAACTATGGACTTTCAGACCACAGTACGCTCTTTTAGATTGAAATATTTATTATCATGGAGATTGTGTAGTGTTAGTTTCTAGTGTGTTTAAAATGGGCAATGTGTTAGTGTTTGCCTTGGTGTCTAAGTTCAAGGACTGTACCAGAATAAAAATAATGTGAGTAGTTTTAGTAAAAGTTTTATTTAGTAGCAATTTTTACTTAATGTAACAAGCATCGTTGTGTAATCCAAAATGAAAAACTTTGCACTTAAGTGGTGAAATACTGTAATGAACTATCATTTTTAGGTGACATATTTGTGTTTGTGCCAGTTACCGTAGCCTTTATGAGTACGATTGTAAATCATTATGGTTTAGGATTATAGTGCAACTATAAATGCTGTGAATGTTTTATCAGTAGGTCTGAATCCTTGTATGAAGTGTCCTGTATGTATAATTAGAATTTACAATTAATTATTTGTGAGTATAGTCTGGCAATCTTGTGGGCAACAAAACTTTTGTAAACCAGCAAGTATTTTTAGTAATGTGATCAATAGATAATGATATGTAGTCACTATAATTATAAGATTTCAGTACATTTAATTTGGATGTACTGCATACACACACAGTTTCAAAGCATGTATGAGATTAATACAATGTACTCTGGATTAGTGGGTGATTTTGTTAATGTGTACAATTATTTTATAGATATTGAAATTCTGAGTTTACTCATCAATATTGTTATCAACTCAAAGTTATTTAAATTTTTGAGAATGTGCACATATCATAAAATATTGTTTTAATAAATATTTGACACATGAGAAGTGTACTTGTTAAAAAATCTTTCATTTTACAACAGTAAACAAGTTTCTTCCTTGTTTTGGAAGTCAAAATGTAATATCACACCTTAAAATCTGTAGTGTTCTTTATGTTGTAATAATGTTTTTGGGACTTAAAATTAAAAGATGTAATTGATATGCACAATCATGAAACAAATGGCTAAATTGTCTTTGTTATGTATATTCTGATAAAGTATAAATAATTTGATAATTGTGTGTCTAATCATACTAAAACTTTGCAACATGACATTTAAGTAAAATGTGACTTCTTAATAATTAATACAACCTGTCTTGTCTTTACTAAACAATACATGAATATTAATTTGCAATTACATATATTATTATAGGTCATAGTTCAATGATACACTACAAGCACAGTTCAAATGGTCAGGGAAAAGTCAAAATTTACCTTCTGCCTAAAATGTGGGAACCATGTAGCATAAACAGTATAGTAACGGACACTGAGGTTGTGTGACATGTACAAACAAATGTACCATATATTATATATGGAAGACCTTACATACATTGTAAATAAAAAAAACAACAGAAAATTATATTAATTTCCATCAGTGACAGTTTGCCTTTTGTCTGTTCGTAGAGTATTCAGAATCCCTTGTGTGTTGAGCAAAACACTGATTTTGGAGGATATTTAGCTTGTTGGTACCCTTATTTTCCAGTTTGCTCCACAGTTTTTGCATATGCTTTATGACTTTTCTTTGTTTAGATGTTGAATGGGGGATTTGTATACCTTTTATGCTTTCAAAGTGAAATTTTAAGTAATCTGCATGGATGTGGCACATTAGACATATTAGTTAGGTGTGCATAACCCAGAATATTGTGAGTGAGCAGTCATTTTGTGTCTATATTATTACTTGTCATTAACATAAGTTATGCCACAATTGCTCTTATCTTTTATTTATTTTCTTTTATGCATAAATTAAAATAATGAACTATAAAAAAATAAAGAAAAGTAAAACTAGTTATACATCTGGCTATGATTAGCAATGCTGGTGCCTCAGTTGCTCTTCATGGGAAATTAGGCTTGCTGATGCAGTTGACAAACATTTAGCCTCATTTTGGATCTAGTTGAATTTCATACTAGTAGCCCTCTGATTAGTCAAAAGTGAAATGAATGCAGTTGTGTTTATTACATAAAACATATGCATCAGAAAGACTAGTTCAGTAAAATATAGGCATACTCATAGATGTATGCGTCTGATAGAGTTAACAGATAAAAATGATAGGCATGCTACCTTGTCCACAATCTATTGTTTTTAGTAGGGGACACACTTAAAAAAAAAACAGCACAACTCTGGGCTTGTATTCTGTCAGAATGTATTTTTGATTAAAGTTACATGTATCAACTTATGGAATAATTTGTATTAGTTAGGATGTATGGATGTGAATGGTACAAATTCTTTGAATTTATTTTGTAGTTTACAGTAATTTTAACCCATTCATGTCTCTCTCTCCATTTTAGTAATTTCTTTGGAGACTATAGATAAATCTAGGAAAAAGTTTGTGCCTTGTAGGAAGAACTTTACCAGAAACTGGTTATATATGTATTATACATGTCATGAAATAATGCATATAGTTTAATTTCATTTGGTTCTAAAAGAACTAAAGTTTATGTTTTTACATTTAAAATAAATATATAAGCTGTTAGTAAACCAAAATGATGTTACCCTACTAGAAAGAGTTAGAAATATGTAAACTATTTATGTCAGTTAAATATACTTGGTTGAAAAGCATATGAATATAGAGACTAAAAAGTACAAAGACTACAAAACTTAGACTTACCAAATCTTGTGCCTATACATACATGTATAAACATAAATTCATACTTCATATACTAGTACCTTCATGTATGAGTGGGAACTGTAACTTAGCATTACAGGTTGTGCAAGGTAATTGGACATTTTTGGTGAATTGGATGTTGACTCAGGAAATATGGTGATGCAGTGGTATTATATAGCTGGTTGAAAAAAGTCTTCTCTGTTAAAACAGCTGTTGTGATAGGTGTAGAACTACCTTTCCATAAGGCTCATAGAAATATGTTACTTGAAGGTGCTACATAAAGCTGTCTTTCATTTAACATGGGCAGTGTAGATACAATAAAACTTGAGAGGAAGATGGGAGATGAAGAAGAAGATCATAGTCATCATCATTTTAATGTATGGCTTATTATTTCAAAAATGTGTTTGTAGTTTTGTTCAGTAATTTTCTTTCTTATGTATGTATGTATAGCATGTGCATGTACAGTGCCACAGTTTCAATGTACTGAATAGAATTTTTTTACTTAAATAGTATACTTATAATGGACTTTTAAGTGTAGTAAGTAAATCAGTATATGATAAAAAAAGGAAGTTTTGTTTGTATGAAGTTAAGCATGTTTCAAAGTATTTATATGACCTATTTGCAATAGTAATTTTGTCATTGAATTATTTTTATATGTAATTTATATAGTAAATATGTATGCATTATGTATATTTATATTTTTTCTTAGGAGTTTAATAAGCTGCAATGTGTAAATAAAACATTTTTTTAGAATAATTTCAATAGGGTTAAAGATAAGACTGATTCTCCAAGAAATTGATTTGTTTTATGTATAATATTTATATATATATTGTTTATACACTGTAAAAATGTTTAACAGGTGCTTGTGTTCAGAGTTAACAGGTTTTGGGTATGTTAAACATTAACTACAATTTTTTTAGGTTAGTTTAGCCTTATGACAGTTATATCAAACTTAGTTAAATACATTATGTATATTTTGTATAATGTTCAGAGGCCATGCTATGTTGTGAAAATTATGTTCTAGGGCCTTGAAAAACAAAATATGCCCTACAGAGAAATTGTCAAGTCGCACATAAAAACTAGTAATTTACAAAAAAAAAAAAAAGATGCAATAACAAGTATAGTTACAATTTGCATCTCGTGATATACCTTGAATCATTAGAAGCCTAGTATTTGGTATGCATATTAGTAAGTCTGTTTTTTTTTACTTCTTTTTTAGCTTACCTGTTGCCCAAAGAACATATGGTATGCAACCACCTGCCTTTCTAGCTTAATCAGCATAGCAAAATGCAAAGAAATGAAATAATTCTAGTGTTGCAGTAGCAAGCACATTTATGAAATAACTATATATATATCTGTAAAGGTATGCATTGATATGACTCATTTAAATGTCTCCGTCATTTTGCCTGTTGACATGAGTGAATTTTTCAACTTGATGAAACTCTTGTTGAAATTAAATGATAACATCTGTTTGCTACTTCAATATTAAAAAAACTTGTATATATATATAGGATGATTCAACTGTAGCTAGCCGATATTTATATTTTTTCTTTATGGACAACATTTGATTTGCAGCAGTAACAGTCATTGAATTTTTTTGTCAGTCTCTGTGCCATTCTTGTGTACTGTTCAAATGTACTTGTACATTAATCTGAAGCACATGGAACTTAAAAGTAACTACTACACTACTCTGAAGAGCTAACTTTTGGACTGCTCTGCATACATTCACTTGTAATCTCTTACACTTCTTGCTTTTTAGCATTTCTTACTTTAGTACAGATTCCAAGCATAGTGGTTACAGTTTCATATGCCCCACTTGGTGACACAGCAGTAACTTTGAGGGCTTATAATACAAAAATTATGGTTTGCTCCCTGTTGTTGGCACATCACCAACAGTGTAACATTATTATTATCAATAAGCAAATGAATCAGTTTGATATTTTATTTAGTTTGTGCATGAGATTCTTTTTATTGAGATGAAAGTAAAACAATAATGTTACCTGAAGTAAAAAAAAGGAAGATTTTAAAATGTAAATCTATTTTCTTAAGCTAATGAAGAAATGTTTATTATAGTAGAACAGTGTAAACAATGAATCCTGTAAAAAGTCCAGTTTTGAAAGTATTAAAATTAATTTTTAAATTTCACTTACCTTTGTTTTCATTTACAAATATTGGGTTAATCAGGAAGTTGTATGTCGTATTTATTGCATTTTACCTTTGAACATTATCTCTAAAGGAAGCTGTAGAGCATCTATTTATTAATATACTAGGTTGGAACACTACACTGTTTATATACTGTATTTGTCCTTAAAGCACTAAAATGGTTTTAATTCTGTACTGTACTGAGAGAATTTTAGGGATAATTATCTCTGTAAAAATTTTAAAAACCAGATGAAGCAGTTATGTTACTAGATATACAGTTCTTTTGTTTGTTGATTGAATATTGATTTAGTTACAGTAAAATATTGTAATGTAAACTTATTTTTGTATTAAAGATTTTAGGACTAATGTGTTCAGAGAGAATGATTTTTGAATATACTTTATTTATGTCAGTTTACAGCTCCATATCATAGTAATACCAACACTACATTACTGATAGTTGTGTTTATTCAGTATACTGTAACATGCATAGAACAGTAAGAATATACAAGGGCTAGTCATTGCATTGCCTATAACCATTGATGCTTGGAATCAATGGGGTGTTGGTCACTGTTGGATGACTGTTGATTGTCCACCTTGATATCACACAAACTCCTTCGTACTTAATTGTTGGCTATAAATAATATGGATCAAGGGACTCCTCATGCTGCAGGGTATTTTTCATCCATCTGAAGTGAACTGATGGAACATTGATTGTCAAAAGGGAAGGTGCGTGTCACTTGGCATTTTTCTCTCCATTAGAAAGATATATTTGGCAATTCCACTTTCTCTGGGGACATTTATATTGTTATTCTTATGGTAGGGCTTTGTAAGCATGTATGGTTATCAAGAGAATTAGATTGGCTTCAGTGAAACATTTAATTTGTTTTTTCTTTCAGGAAACCTTAAGTATGACATCAGTTGGTGCATTAGGGAATGTCATCAATCTAGGGAACAGTATAATTGGAGTTAGCATTCTTGCAATGCCATATTGTTTTAGCAAGGTATGTATTGTTAAAAATCCAGGACCAATATCAGAGTTTGAAAATAAAAAAACTGCTATGAACTACAGTGATCAAATGTTTTAAATGTTTTTTTTTTTATAAGTATCAGTGTCACTTCTACAACGTGCAAAGTATTACCCTCTTGTGTTTTGTTGCTGCATACGCTTTAATTTATTATAAACATGCTTTAGTAAACTTCTTATAAAGATAGGGTTTGCTTTTGTTTTATCTGCACAAAAACATGAATTTTGACAAAGAGCAATTACAAAGATTGAACTAAAACCAAACTAATTTCTTGTAGTGGAACTTTTGTTTTTTAATGTTTGCTGTAAAATAAACTACAGGAGACATACACAGACATATTTGGAATAAAATGCCCAATGAGTTAATTTATTTATTTAAATTTATCTTAGTAGTTGATAGTGTGGTAGGTCCCGAGTTTCTTAAAAATAGCAAATGTGTGAATAAAAACATTGCATTTAACTGATATATGTATGTAATGTGGCCATAGCACCAGTCTTGTATTTTGGCCGGGTACTCTGTTGATAGCCACGCAGTGAAGTCTTTATAATGTCCTTGCACATTTGCTGCTATAACAGTTAAGTTACCAATGCATTTCCTTATATCAGTTTTATAGAAGTTGAGAACCTCATTAGCAACTGAAGATTCGCTATTTATTTGCACAAGGAGTGTGCTTTTAAATGTATTCTGTTACATAAAATATTTCAACAGATCATTGATCTTTTGAAGTGAAATCTTGAGCTGTTTCACTTTGCACTTAGAACATCCCAACCTCTTTCACCTCATTTGCAACAGTCTTGTAAATTAACTGTTGTTTTAGAGATTGTTTCGATACCAGTATTAACTTTGGTTTTACAGATTGTTTCAATACCAGTATTAACTTTGGTTTTATAGATTGTTTCGATACTAATATTAACTGTTGTTTTAGAGATTGTTTCGATACCAGTATTAACTGTTGTTTTAGAGATTGTTTCAATACCAGTATTAAGTGTTGTTTTAGAGATTGTTTCGATACCAGTATTAACTGTTGTATTAGAGATTGTTTTGATACCAGTATTAACTGTTGTATTAGAGATTGTTTCGGTACCAGTATTAACTGTTGTATTAGAGATTGTTTCGGTACCAGTATTAACTGTTGTATTAGAGATTGTTTCGGTACCAGTATTAACTGTTGTATTAGAGATTGTTTCGGTACCAGTATTAACTGTTGTATTAGAGATTGTTTCGGTACCAGTATTAACTGTTGTATTAGAGATTGTTTCGATACCATTATTAACTGTTGTTTTAGAGATTGTTTCGATACCAGTATTAAATGTTGTATTAGAGAGTAAAGTTATGTAATCACTTCCGTGTTTTTGTTGACAAACGTTGTACTTGCTAAGTAGAGCAAACTATAAACTTGCCATTATGTAGAGAAAAATCCTTTACGTGTCTGCAACCTCTAATTTGTGTCTCCTGTAGCTGTGTCCACACTTGCCTATCACATTCACAGTGTATTTCATCCACCCCAGTACTTTCCACCTCTTTTGTACATGTTCTCGGTATACAAACATTTTATTAGTAAATTACTGATATCTTGCCATACTACACAAAGACTAATTAGTCCTATGCTGATGGTTCATAAAACTCATGAAATCAGTAAACATTTTGAGAGCAACAGAAAATTGAAAACTATTGAAAATAAACATGAAACAAATTATTATGTTCTTTTTTCTTTCTTTTCATTCCAAAAAGACAGATTTTCATGAAAAAAAGGAAATCCATGCTAAAATGTGTCATGTTGTATTGAGGCAGAGGTGTAATTACTCAATTTTCTTGGTTATTGATTTAGGTATTATATATATAGATAGTCAGTTATGTGAAATATCCACATATGAGAGGACCTACTCTATACAACTAGGCACTGGCCTAGGGTTTCCATCTGAACAATTCTAGAATAAAGAATACATTTGTTGATGTAAGATAATTTTCATCAAGTCAAGAACAGCTTTCAACAAACAATGATGCACCCTAATCCCATTCAATTTTTACCTGCTATGGAGCATTGCATTTTACTAATGAAAAAAGAATGATCTCCTAATAGGTGGAAGCCCTAAACTGACCCCAAATCTTTAATAAGTTATTTTTAATTTTTCTGAAACATTGGACATTTATCTGTCTCTAAAGGGGTAAGATGTATTTTCTGTACATTCCATTCTATTCAAAAGGTGTTTTTAACATAAACTTTTTACCCAGCTTATTAGGAATTTATTATTTAATTTCATATTAGGTAAGTTCAATCTCTACAATAATAATTTCATTCTGCATAGAGATAACTTTGTATGCATAATATCATTTTATTTGTTATACATTATTTGTGGTTATGTTTTTTGTTTAGTTTTTTTACATTTAATTTTTTATCACAATCATATAACTTGTTTTCTGTTTGGTTTTATACTTTAAGGTGCTCAGTAACATTTAGAAAAATTAAGTTTTAAGCTACTCTCTGAATGTTTTGGAGCAGAAGTATCACAACTGAAGAAACACACCAAAAAACTGATATTATCTAGATACTTGTTTGTTGGATGAAGTTTTCACTTTTTGCCCTCTCAGGCACGATGAGTTGATCATAGTTTGAGATGCAGTGGTGTAGCTAGCTGAATGTTCAGCTTAGGTTGTAGGTTACAAATTAGGAGTGCTTCCTTTTTTCTTACTCGTATACTAATACTTCTACTATAGTTCGTATTATTACTTACAGACTACTTTACTAGTACTACTGGTAGTTTAACTAACCTACCTAACGTACC